ACAGCCTCTCCCACCGCTGCTTTCCACCTCGCGGGCGTCTCATCGGGAGAGCTTGGGCGAAACAGCAAGGAGCCGCGTGCGCGGCACGTTGGCGCCCCAGTGTCAGGCCGTGTGCGGGCCGGCTCCTCTCCAGCCCGACGACACTGAGATTCGGAACAAGCGGCCGGCAAGGAGCCACGTGAGCGAGCCCTTCGCACGACTGAGAAAACACAACTGCACAGCGCCCAGAACTGACGTGAGGGGTGGCCAGCGTGAAATGTCAGCGGCACGGTCGTGCACTTGTGGGTCTAGTTCAGCCGCCACTCGCTCCCGCAGGCACCTCCATCATTCCTGCGCACTCAGAATAACAGCACGAGAAGCCGAAGTGAAACACGAGGCCGTCCCACCCATGGCTGGGGCGGGGGTCAGGGCCGGGGGGCGGCTGCCGGAGCTGGAGCCCAGGCTGTGGTGCAGCTGGGGGTCAGGATACACCCCCCACCCCAGCCCCCAGAGCAGCCGCACTGCAGGGAGGGGCACTGGCTGGGGGGCGCGCCGGCCCCGCCCGCCGCGCCGCTCCTAGGCCCCTGGATGCAGCCGGCCCCAGCCCAGCGACTGCCCCTGGCCCGAGCTGGGTAGCAGCACTTCTTTTCCCATTCATTTCGGACGGGCTTGGGACCTGGCCCTGCGTTTCTCAGTCCCTGGGCCCCTGCGAAAGCCCTAAGAGGGGATGTTCCTGGGGGATTTGTCCAGCTCACTTTGGAGGAACTTGACTGTCACGTGGCCCCTGGATGCAGCCGGCCCCAGCCCAGCGACTGCCCCTGGCCCGAGCTGGGTAGCAGCACTTCTTTTCCCATTCATTTCGGACGGGCTTGGGACCTGGCCCTGCGTTTCTCAGTCCCTGGGCCCCTGCGAAAGCCCTAAGAGGGGATGTTCCTGGGGGATTTGTCCAGCTCACTTTGGAGGAACTTGACTGTCACGTTCGGGCTGGCCAGGCTCTGAATTCAGGGGCTCCTCGGCAGGGGCCAGCGGGGGCATGCAGAGGAAACAGGGAGACTCAGAAGAGAAACTTCCTGCCTCGGGGCTCTGGCCTTGCGAGGGCTGGAATCACCTCCCGAGGGAGGCGGTGGAAGCTCCGTTGCTTGGGACGTTTAAGAGCAGCCGGGACTAACCCCCGGGACCGGAGGGACGGGACTGGTTAGCCTGGCACGTGCAGCTGGTTGCCGGGCACGGGAGACCCGGGGCTGCATTCTCAGTTTCTCTGGGTCCTCTCTGTTTCGTTCTATTGATTTACTAATGCAAGGCCCAGGTGGGAAATTCTCTTCCCCTCAGCCCTTCTCGACTTTCTGAAACAGAAACTGCCTGTCACGAGGGCTGCCGCTCTGCTCATCGGCCGCAGGAAAAACCTCCCACCAGCGCCTCAGGCTCGATTCCTTTTGCAATAGCAGAACAACGTATTCCAGCACACTCAGGGCCTCTGGGCCCCCTCAGTCCAGCACGCTGGGTATAAACCAGGCCCATTCCCAGCTAGGGACACCATTCCTCCCCATCCTGGCTAAGAGCCGTTGATGGACCCAACCTCCATGAATTATCTAATGGCCAGACCCACACCCAGCTCAGGAAACCTCTGCTCAGTGCCTTGGATCTATGCGCCTGGAAGAGCTCCCAGAAACCTTTGACCCTGGGCTGTAAGGTGGCACCCACCACTACCCTGAAAATCCATTGATGCCAAGGTGTCTTTAGAAACTCCCGCAAGCCTGCTGGTTCGCCCAGGACATTTAAACGCAGCCAGGAGTCTAGGGACGGCTGCCAGACTTCCTGCTTCAGGCCACGCGCTGGCCTCTAAGACACGAGGGTCAGAAAGGTTCTTTCTCTGGGGGAAGGTGATCTCATCCTCCTCCCAAGCAGCTGGTGTGGGCGCTGTCAGAGATGAGTCTGGCCATTCCCAGGCCCAAACACAAAGTCATCACTAAGCGTCACTGCAGGCACTAGTCTATGCTGGACTGTCTGAATTTCTCCCCCCGGCAGGGTGGGTTGATGTCAATCACGGTTGAGTTCATCGCCAGACGGGAAGCTCTGATTTGAAGCAGAGATTTTAATGAACTTTTCCATTTCTACTTCAGTTCTTTTCTAAAGAAAGGCGCATTCTCATTCGTTGATGCAATTATTAAAATAGCTTGATTTACGGCTAAAAAGCACCTCGACACAAATCTGGGATGTCTTTTTGCTCCCTAGCAAGGGGCCTTTAATTAATTGTAGATATTTAAGCAAGGGACATGGCTTATTAATTTCAGTTTCTGATTAATTACTAGTTGTGGCGCGTCGTGGTCCCCCGCCTCCTGCACCCCTGTAGTGGCACGAACAGACTCCACCAGCCAGTAGAACAGAGGGAGCTTATTGCTCCTCCAGGATACAGCACAGCACAGATGTCATCTGGTTACAGGAACTGGGGCTAGGAGGCCTCAGTGCCCCCCCCTTGAGATGGAGAGTGTCTAGGCCCTACAATCCTAGCCCCCTCCCTAGCTCCTTCTCCCCTGCTTCCCAGACAGCAACTAAAGACCGTCCCTTCCAGCCCTGCCCCCAGCCAGGGGCAGCATTCCACCTTCCTTTGTTCCTCTCCCTGGGGGTAACTGGTAAACAGGTCACCTCCCTGTCCCATCAGCTACTCGGCTGGGCAGTGGTACAGGCAGCAGCCAGTGGGGTCACCCACAGCCCCAGCCCAGCAACCAGCAAGGTACCCCCACTACTACATTGTACAATGTTAGAAAGTGGTGACTCAGAATATTGCTGCTTTACTAGAGAATTAACTCTCAGGGGGTAGCTGTGTTAGTCTGTAACTTTGAAAAGCAGTGAGTAGCATTACTGGGTGTAGCTAATTAACCGTTTGCTCAAAATTTGTGTCAAGCTGTTTTAGGATGGTAACTGGGATGTAACAGGGTATCAATGTATTTTATTAAACAGAACAAGCACTTCACACAGCACTTGCCCTCCGGTGCCATATTTATAAAGCGGGGCTCCTCCTTGGCTGTTCTCTTCATTTTTTCCTTATTCAGAAAAGCAGCTTTCCCGCTGGGAGTCTTGAGGCTGGTGGAGCCGGCCCATTTCTTTCGATTGAAACGCGTTCCCAGGCTGTAGCGCAGCGAGGTTTGAAGAGGAAAGGCAGCGCCCCTCAGATCACAAAAGGAATCAGACTGAAATGATAACACATCCCCCTGCCCAGCCACGCCCTGGTGTGTGTGCCACTGCGGGGATTTGCCCCTTTTTGGGCAGAAAAGCCCCCGGAGCGGCTGTGGGCCGCCGGGAGGAAATACCCGAGAGCTGCTGACAAGTTCTCTGCGGAGGAGTGGGCGGAAGTGAGAGGCCCGTGGAAACAAGCCAAAGGACTGTGCTGCTCTGCTGACGCCCCCTCAGACGTCACCCGGCCTCCCAGAGGGAAAACAAGGGTGCAGCGAGCCTCAGCAGCAGGCTGCACTCTGCTCTCCCAGCCGGGCGCACACAGACAATGCAGCTCCCAGGATGGCACCAGCTTTCGCAGCACTGACGGTGGGAGTGGCCGTGTCCCTGTGCCTGCAGGTCTATGGTAAGGCTCTGCAGCCCTGACTCAGCCGCCAGGGGCTCACTGTGCACCCGCTGGGCCGGCGGCTTGGCTGCCTGGGCTGGGGGCGTGAGGAGCCGCTTGGATTGTATTAGCCCATCCTGAGATCTTGTAGCCCTGCTCTCCCATTGGCACCTTTCCCTGGGATTCCCTAGCAGGGGCTGCTGACTTGCCCGGGAGGGAGGAGGTGTCGCTGGGCACTCGCCGTGGCTGTAGCACTCCCCTTCGGTGCCTGAATGCCCCGGCTCCGCTTGGGGCCTGGCTCCGGGTGAACATGGCCCCTCGTGGGCTCCGCGACTCTGTGAAGCCGGTGTCCCCAGGGTGGCTGCAGCCCAGCCCGGGGTTGCGGTGGGGACAGGAAAGCAGCAGCTGTTGTTGGCTGATGGGCCTTTGACACTGGGCGAGGAGCTGACAGGGCAGAAGACACAAGCCGCCCAGAGGGCTTCGCCTCCCATCGCAGCAGGCGCCAAGCTGAGAACGGGCACTTCCCCAAGGACAGGCCCCCGGGGGGTCCAGGCTGGAGAGCGTTGCTAGTGAGGTTGCTGGTGGGTTTGTTTGGGGCTGATGCAGCCAGTGATGTGAATGCAGCCAGTTCTCTAAGAGCTCCTGGGAATTGTGTCCCCCCCGGGGAGCGAAATGGCCCCGTTACTTTTGCAGCCCTCGATGTATTCCTCCCCTCCAGACTCACGGGCCCTGGGCGCTGCCAGAGAGTCTGTGCCAGAGCTGGGAGCTGAGCTCTGCTACTTATTTACAGGGTGATCTAGGGCTAGACACGTAACTTCCCCAAGCCTCTGATCTCCTACCTGCAAAATACAGGTCGTGAGTAGAGCAGCTCAGCGATTTCTCCACAAAAGCTTTTACCCCCGAAAAATGCAGATTTGTCAAAGAGGAAACTGGGGTCGAGAGCTGGTGTCAATGAGCTTCCCGACTCCAAACCCCGGGAACGTTGGTTCAGAAAGGAAACGCTAGCTGGTGCCTCTCACCTCTGGGAGGCAGGAAGAGGCAGGAAGGAGGAAAGTTTCAGCAAGTTCCTTACGGGGAGTTGCCTGCTGCTTTCATGTGGGGTGTGGACAGCATCCAAGGGAGCTTTTAGTGCCGTGGCAGGCCCCAGGCATTCAGCTTTTATCTACCAGGCTGTGAGCACCGAGAGCCCAGCACTCTGCTGAAAAATATTCGTTCCCTTTCCTTTGAGCTTTGAAATGAGCGAGCCCGGGTGCAGGGCTGGAGCCGAGCTTCGCACCAAGCCCCAGGGAGGATGGAGGACGCCACCCAGGGCAGCAAGAGAGGCTGGGGACTGGGGGGGGGGGGCTGCAACTCTGTGCTCAGGCTACTCAGGGGCTCTCAAGTTTCAGGAGGGTCTGCTGGGGTGGAAGGGGAAGCAGCAGAGTGTGCTGGAAAGCTGGAGGGTGGGAGAAAGCAGAAGGGCCGATGTGGAACCGATGCAGCTGCTCCTGGGGCGGGATAGTTACGGGCTATGACCCAGCCCTGTGCAGAAGGGGGAGCAGAGTCATCCCTGTTGTTGGGGGGGGGTCTGTGTCTTTCCCACGAGAGGCGCAGAAGAGACCTTTGCTGGGAGCAGGAAGCTCTGGGCCCGGCTAGGGGATGATGGAATGAAGGGTTATTGCTCCTCGTGGTGGGTTTCCGAGACAGACTGGCACACTCCAGTTACGGGCTATGACCCAGCCCTGTGCAGAAGGGGGAGCAGAGTCATCCCTGTTGTTGGGGGGGGGTCTGTGTCTTTCCCACGAGAGGCGCAGAAGAGACCTTTGCTGGGAGCAGGAAGCTCTGGGCCCGGCTAGGGGATGATGGAATGAAGGGTTATTGCTCCTCGTGGTGGGTTTCCGAGACAGACTGGCACACTCCCTGCCTGCCTCTGCACGGAAATGTCTCCCCAGGCCCCGCCTGGGAG